GGTCGTCGAGTACGCCCAGCGCGAGCCTGCGGCGATCCGCGGGCGCACGCAAACCGCCGTCTACACGAGCCGGTACATGGGCCAAATGCTCGCGCAATGCTCGATCGCGTTTCTTCTTAACGGACCCGCGTACGGTGGGTCGTTCACGTTTAGCGTGTCCCCGAATGTCATGTACGGCATCTGCCTCGTCCCGTGCGCGCTCATCGTGCCCAGCACGCTCCTCTTCCTCGTTGAAGTGCCCTCTACCAAGGTCTCGTTCACCGATTGGGTGGCCAATTTCTGGGGCCTCCTCCAGAAACGCGTCATGTGGCAGATCTGCGCGTTCAAGTTTCTCAACTCGGCCTTCTCGAGCTTTGCAGCCACGCCAAGTGCTCCGATTGCGCGGACGTGGGCGGGCGTCGAGCCAGTCAACGACGCGATCGCCGGCGTCCTCGGCTCGCTTCTCATGTCGGTTATCATGGCGGTGGTCGGCAAGTGGGGTCTCAGCTGGAACTGGCGCTACGTCATTGCGCTCAGCACGATCGGTATCATTCTCCTCGACGCCGTTGCCGTCTTTGCTACGGTCTGGGACGTCTTCCGCAACCAGTGGTTTTACAACGGCGTCGTCCTCGCCGAGAAGATCCCGGATGGCATCCGCTTCATGGTCGCATCCTACTGCGCAGTCGAGATCGCCGACGTCGGTAACGAAGGCGCCACGTACGGCCTCGTGACGACGGTCGGCAACCTAGCGACGCCGTTCGCATCGGTGTTCTACAAGCTCGCCGACTCGGTGTTTGCTGTGACGCAGACCGACATTGCCCGCGACGACGACGTGGTCAAGTGGCAAGTGACCTACTGCTTCCTCCTCTCGTATGCGGTCAAGTTGGCCGCGCTCGTCTGGCTCTTCCTCCTCCCGCCGCAGAAAAACGCCCTCCAGCGCATGAAGAAGACGGGCGGCTCGAGTCGAATCGCGGGCGGGATCGTCGTCGGCGTGTTTTGCTTTGCGCTCGCCTTTTCGGTGACGACCAACTTTATGTCGATTTACCCAGCGACCAAGTGCTACCGCATCGCCGGCGGCCAGGGCACCGTTAATGGCTCGTGTCTTTAATACCATTGTTGCACTCAAAAATGAGAGTGTCTGTTGTGTGTACGAGTCCGTCCTGTCTGCGGAAGCTTATTCCGCCGACACGAGGCACAGCGCTAACGTGTCTGGCACGACTCGCCTCCCCTTTCGTACGCTGCAAGGACACTGGCCACCGCCACTGACGTCGTGCGCTGTGGGTGAGATATCACACGGGATCGTGGCCACAGAGCATACCCGTGTGGCCTAGGAATCCGTGTCCATAGTGGTCGAGCGACGCGGATCACTAATTGCTTTTTCGAGGGAGCCAGTAAACGTGGCTTCAGATATGACGCCAGGACGAACGTGGCAAAACGCTCTGTTGGGATGGTAGCATTGGATAGCGCGGACCACGGCCCGCGTCAACGAGCTGGTTTGATGAGCATTTTGGAGCAGCCTGCATCGACGCTTGTGCGAGAGGCAGTCGTGGAATTCGCATCGTTTGTCTTGTACAACCGGTAGGGTGTTAGACCTGTTGAAGACGTCGCTCGATCATCGCGTCCTTGGAGCACTTACACACGGTCCCAACGTCACTTGTGTGGCGGTACAAGCACGCTCGTTTTCGACGAGAGCCGAGACAATAATGTCGGGCAATCGGTCTCCGTCGCCGAGACGCCTTGTTATCTGCACCGTCGACCCAACAAGATCAAAGCTTCACTCGCCATGTCGCGGCGCATGCAACAGCGCATCAACTTTGACGCATCCCGTCGTCCTAAAATAATGGTCAAAACCGAAGACCTGGGAAAGAGCACGAGATGGGCCGGTAGAGTAGTTCAGGACCTAATGCATCACCCACCACGTACACGCCGTCCTGCCCACCCAAGGGTATAACTAGTTATTCCCTTGTGCCCATCGGAGGCGCGGTCGCCATACTACCAAGGCGCTATCCAAGCCATTGGGAGCTCGATTTTCTATGTTATCGGATCTATGCGTTCTTATGCACTTTTTATGCGAATAGGGATTTAAACTCCCAGCAATCCGCCACGCATCGACACAGAGGCTTCTGCCGACGCCATGCAAGCCAGTACAGCAGGTCAAGGGTCGACCAGCTCGTGTCGCGGTCGCTCGGGAGAACATTTTGGCCGCGCGTTCTGGCGGGAGCGGCACGATCTCGATCAAACCAGATAGTATTGCGACCATCCTGTAGGTTTGTCGTCTGAGTGGTTGGTTGGCTACTACCAAGGCCATTTGCTACTACTACCAATATTACGTCCGGTAGCAACCATGGGTAGCAACAAGCAACAACTCGAGGGGAAAAGAGTGGTGCAGATGAATGGCTGCAACGTGGCGCCTCCAGCAAACAAATGAGCTGAAGAGCAGATCTGTGTTGTATGACGGTCGTTGCGCCGGTATCGAAATCACTCGCAACTCAGATCGCTCTAGACGTAGCACCACCACCCAGCGCCAAACGCTAAGCGCCGCGGGAAGAGACGGCGTCCAAACGAGATTTTTCGCCGCACGGTGACGCAAAAGATTATTGAATATAACGCCGCGACGGGATCTGAGTACGAGCAATCAACGAGCTGCACACCCGAGGGGACAATCTGCTGGACACTACACTACTATCGACGCGTTCCACGTACCATCGCCTGCCTCAAGCGCCAAGGCAAAATCAAATGCAAGGCCCTTGGCATATGGGCCCTTGGTATGTATCGATCACCTTGTGACGAGCTCCTGCTTGTGCAGCCACCCATTGAGGAAGTGCATGGGCAAAAGTTGAACGAACGATCTGAGTTGGTGGCCCGTCGAGGACGGTGGCTGATCGTGCTACGCTGCATGTTGGTCGCCTTCTGTGCGCCCGATACAAACATCAAGTGGTAGCGACCGCACACAACAAATCGGATGACGGCACGGAAAACCCCCCAAAGCTCCTTCAAAATACGTTGCATCTGGTGAAAACTTGAGGCGATGTTGACCTTTGCGTCCACGTCACACCGTTACGACGGGCTGCGATTGCGATGCGTCCCACGCTTTTAGAAAGGACCCGACCGTAAATCAGGTGCCGCACCAGCTGCGGGTCAAGTGCAAGTACAAAGTCAAAACAACTGGCATCGGATCTGGGTTGGCCGTTGGGCCCGAGGGCCCGAGCCGCAAAGTGTTACAATGCTCCAAAACCGTGTTATTACTGTAGCATCATCGCCAAGGGTGATAACGTCGTCCATCACACCGAAGCAGGTGCCATCAACACCTACGTAGTAGCGTCGATGTGATTATGGCGGCATCGCTCGACTCGAACGTGCAGTCCCGCCGAACGAATAACCCTACTTTGCTCTAGAGACGACAGCACCGGCACAGGCACTCGGACAAGTTGAGGCCTGTATAGTTGTTGTTGAAGTGGGTCGTCTATTACAATAGATAAAACTATGCTAAATAAAATTGTCAGACTTTCTTCGTTGTGTGTACTCGGTTGAGGGACTTGATTTAGGCAGGCGGAGGCAGGAGCGCGATCCGCGGGACGAGGTGACGTCGCGGCCACTCGTGTGAGGCCTGTATAGTTGGTCGGCACGACCTCGTGTTAGTATAGTCCGTTTGTGTTATAGCACCAACGGCTTCAAACCAAGGCCTCAGGTCGGTCTTCCTTTCCAAACCCCAGTCGAGCCCCCAAAGCGAGAACGCTGGACCCGATAAATCGTTACGAAACTCAAAAGGTGTATCCTGGATGCTTAGCCCGAGTGGCTTCTTCGGCGAAGCAAACGAGTCGGGCCAACCACGCATATGATGCAGGTGGATAGCCTTAGGAATTCCCATTGTCCGAACATGGGTACGCCGACCCTGATCCGAATTATAGAAAGGCATGTGTCCAACGGCTGCGTTATCACGTTGGCGGCAGACAGCACAAGTGTTGTAAGCAGGAGAGCGTTTGACTCACAACGTCGTCGAGTCTTTGAATAGCTCGTACCTTGCCAATGATGGCGCCCGCTCTTTCGAGTGACGACGAAAGCTGCTACGTCCCAAATTTTCAAAACGTCTTCTTGCGACTAGAAATGACCGGACAGGCGGTCGAGGGTAGGGGTGTTAAATGAAACACTGGTGCTCGTTGGTTGTTGGAGATACACCCACATCCATGGGCGAGATATTACACGTCTAGCTAGACCTTTGACGCTCCGGATTACTCGATCTGCGTGCTTCAACAAGTTCCCATCAACAGCCCTTATGGATCTTCCCGGTACACTGAGGGCGACCGTGTTGGTGCTGCTCCAAATCGTCACTTTTGCTTTTGCCACTTGGACATCAACAGGATGACAACCGTCGCCAAGGACCTCGGGGATCTCCAAGAGCGTGTCTCGTACATGCAGTCGGCTACCAACGACAAGCAGCACACTGCGGACGGCGAGTACGCCGATGCCAAGACGCCCACCGAGCTCGAAGACGGCGCCCTCGTGTCCGGCGGGGCCATCTCGCTCATGTCGCGTGAGGCGCTCGGTCTCCTCTCGCAGTACTTTGCGATCGGTATCATTTACGGCATGCTTCCTGGTCTTCAGTACCCGGTCTTCAACAACTATCTGCGCATGGAAGGCTACCAAACGTCGGCGTACGGTGTCCTCTGCACGCTCGGCTGGTCGTTCAAGGTCTTCTATGGCATGCTCTCGGACTGCGTGCCCATCATGGGCTACCGCCGCAAGCCGTGGATGCTCATCGGCTGGGGCGTCGCGACGCTCTGCCTTTGCATCATGACGTTCACGCCGTTCCCGGCGCCGTACTGCGACGGCCGCAAGGACAAGTGCCCGTCCGTGACCCCTTCGATCGCTAACCTCACGCGCGACAACACGCTGCAATTCTACAACTTTGACGCTCCGGACGCCGGTGGCCAATTCATTGTGCTCTCGGTCATTGTCGGCTTTGGCTACGTCTTGGCCGACTGCGCCGCCGACGCCATGGTCGTCGAGTACGCCCAGCGTG